TATATATATATATATATATATATATATATATATATATATATATATATGTATATAATACTCAAATTTAAGTTACGAGAAATGTTGCTCAAATAAATAATGCTTCTATGCCTATCAAAGTATCATGTCATCAAGCAGTTAGAATTAACATTTCTAAATCTCTTGGTTGTTTAGTTGCTTAGGTGACATGTTTCTAAGATATGTAAGTAGGCCAGTTGTTGCGGGTTACTTTACTATACACTATTTTGTCTTGAAATCGTCGGAATTTTTGTTTCTATAACTTTACTGAAAATGAAAATAAACCTTCACTTTTGCTTCTGGTATAAGTATACATCATCAATCATGCCTTGTTTGAAGCATCTGCTGCAGTTTTTCTCTTGAACATCCAATTAATAGCCAATGAGATATTGCTTTTTATTTCATTTTGTCATTGATATCTAAACACAGTCGTTGTAGCCGACAAAAAAAAATCTATATGCATATTATAATGAGTTGGCTCTTATCGTAAGCTAAAATTCGTTGTGGATTTCATTGGTGGTTTACTAGCTAGAGCATTCTTCCGAATCGTCGCACTTTATCAACTCAATGAACTTCCATTTGGTAATTAATTTGAATGCTGAGATAATTTAGGTTGCGTAAAAACTGATATCGTAGGGCTCTTTTTGGAGGCATACACATGATTATTTCTTTTATGCGTACTTCAATCACCAGTAAAAGTTGCATGAAAAAGTAAATCATGCATCTTGTTAACTCAAATGATATAATCGTAGGGTGACACTCATGCGAAGTTTGATATATATATCTTCGATCGAAATCATCAGATATTGGTCAGGCAAATTTTGAAAAATACTTGATCCTTACTTGCTCTGTTCTAAATGTTGTCGAGGGCTTTATCCGAAAGGAATGTGGCGTATTCCTTGAATAAAACTGTGGGTGGCTTATTGAAGTTTGTTATACAAAATTACCTCCATTCTTCATTTCACTTTATTGACCTTAAAATAGTGCACAATCATAACCGAATTTCGGTGATGTTATTTTATAAGAATCAGAGTCTACTATGTTTCAGTTCCGAAAGCGAATCGATCCGTTTCCTTGAAGTTATATCAATTTACAAGTTTGATAGCCGAAAACCACAGAACTCATCAACGACCATTCACTTCATCTCATCTTTTCATTATGGAAAGACTTGATGTACTGAGCTTCGCGAGAAACGATCCTTCAGCTGTGTTATTCAGTTTATTTAATGGTCGAATTCGTTATTGGCTATCGCTAGTATAAAAGCAGTTCGGTAATAAAACCGCATTACGTTTATCTTATCAATAGTCAGTTTCTTTTTTAATGATAAAATTTGTTTTCAGTTTTTGTTGCACAATAATGATCACAAAAACCGGTACCCAATTGATAATTTTCATCGAGAGAAATTGCCTCTTTCATTCAAACAATTACTAATGTTTAACATTTGCTATTTTGTTTGCCTTTACTCATTTCTCTTCCAATTTTTTGATATTTTTTGTTGTTTCATTATTTAACGGTTTTCCTTTTTAGAAATGAGTTCACACTTTCACTCTTAAAAAATACACATCTTTTTTTTGACTATCTCCTTTTCATCAAATTTGTTTAAAGGATATGGTGTGCTAAATGGTCAACTGGTAATTTCTGTCTTTCTGTTGTTTCTTCATTTTGTTTTTTTTTTTTCTTTCTATTTGTTCTTTCTTCACTTGTAATATTTTGTTGATGTTATCCAAAAAAGTCGGAAACTTGTAGTAAATTAAGGATGCACAAAACGTCTCTCCAGTATCACCAGTGTCATTTTTTTTTCTCTAATCTTCTGTGAACTGCATTTTAAAAAAGTATCATCAGCAATTGATGGTTGATTAACTTTTGTGTGTAGCATCTAATATGTAAATTTAAATTGTTTCAAAAATTCTCTATCGTAGAAGACGTACTGACATTAACAGCGTGAATGTAATTTGGGGACATGTGCTTGGTGGTATCAATCACTCTATTCCTGGAGTAGACGGACGGACCGCAGTGTGTTGAGATTTACTTTAATTGAATTTTTATTTTTTAACTAGAATTTATCTATTGAGATCTGGGATTTCCTTTGGAATAGTTCGGTCTTCAACACTGCATTTTTCGATTATGACGGAACATGATTGTGCAATGCATAAATCTAATCTAGGTTATTTTTTTTTCAAGCTCTGATACAATGTTACTTCCACCAAAGTTTTGCTGAAAGAGTCTTTTCGAATTGAATCAACATTTAACTGTTTACATATTCCGTGGGCCCTCGAAACGCATAATACGTGGATCTTGTAATTCAGGAATGCATCATTTTTTTTTCAAAGTGAAATTTTTGAAAATTTCAGTACCTACCGTTATGGCAAGGGTAGCAGAAACATTTGTTCTGGTACCACTTGGTATTTACGAGATAATAATTTCATCGAGAAGTCTCGAAGTAAGTATTGTCCATATTAGTACTGGAACTACTCAGCATCGTTTTCAAATTGAAATTAGTTGTGCATAGGTCACGAAATCGTTGACAGTCATTCGAAGGCAGTTTTAGGTCTAATTTTTTTTATTTTCACTCTTAACATACTTCATGTATAAGCATTTCTCGCTCTCGAAGTAGTACTTTTTACTGAATACCATGCGCCTTTTATGTATTATCTAGTAAAAGTATGACATTTTTAGTTTTTCGTAGGGTTAGGACAACCCTTGTTTGTTTTTCTTCTGTTTTTTTAAATATATTGAAATTCCTGCACATTTCTATTCGTGTGTTTTTCAGCTATCTGGTTTTCCTGTTTCTGGAAAGATTTGTCCTTGATCAATAAGGACGATGTCGTGTTCATTAGTGACAAAAATCTTGTTGGATATTCTATTCTTGCCTTATATTGTTTTATTTTCGGTTCTGAAATAGTCTACAAATTGGTAAAGTGGTACCATTTCTTATTATTTACTGTCGGTGCAGCAGTACAGTTTGAGATGCCAAGTTATATCCCAAGCAAGTAGATAGTTTAAAATTTCTTTATGATAATATCGTTGGGAGAATTTGTACATTTGCAAATTGTATATGTAAATGCTTTACTGATTGTAACTGATGCGGGTAGTTTTGTATTTCATAATGGTTATAAGGTCATGGTACTAGTTCATTCTAGGTATTATAAACTAAATGAGTAACTGATGTTGCAGAATACTTGTATTTATATTAAATCCATGCCATATTACTATGGCAGTGCAGATTTTGCTTCTCGCGATGGAAATCAATAATCGTAGAATGTATTATATCTTCCGTTTTCATATGTACTTACTACCCGACACACTAATCGATATTGTATTCCCGCCAATAAATTTTCGTGTGGTGAGTGTTTTTATTGAAAAGGACAACATGACATGAAAAAAGCTTAGGATCAACACATCTTATTAGAACTAGGAATTAATGAGGAACGAAGAATTGTCCTTTTATTATTGTTCCTTTTAAACATAGCGGATGTGCGCTGACTGTATCTGATGAAGGTTGATTCATTCAAAGAACCTGGAAATTTTTCCGAATATACGCAGTAGTGTATAACTGGATTCGAAAAGAAAATTAATGAATCCTTTTTAAATCGGTTAAATTAGCATATTTCATAAACAAGTTATCTGATATAATATTTCTTTCCAAACCCCAATATTGTTGTAAATATATATATATATATATATATATATATATATATAGTA